GTGTCAGGACGCCCAGCTGCCTGCTCCTTCCTGTGCTGAGAAGCAGCTATGATGGAGTAGAGCATCATGGGTGTGTCTCTGCCTGCCTCAACTGCCCTCCCACTCCCCACTGCAGGAGCTCCCCAGAAAGGAAGAAAAAAGGAGAGGGAGCAGAAGGTGTAGTGTCAGAAGACAAGCGTGCTCCCCAGCCACGGTGACTTTTAACTGCTCCCATCACGATGCCATTTTGGGACACAGCAGGCGGGACAGGCCAAGAGGTTCCATTAGGAGCCTGCCCAGGATACTGTTGAAACGAATCTGACACCACACACAGACTGTACCTGATTGGCTCTGTCTGCCCTGATCAAGGGTATTCCCCATTCTTCATCTGCAAGTTGAGTGACTTTCCCTGAACAGGGGACAATTCCCCAGTCAAGACTTTGGCAGCTGAGAGGGATACCAAGCTCTACAAAAACCACCAGATTCCTCAGGACCTTAAAAAGGACCTCTTGGCCTGTCATTCCCCAATATGCCCTTTTCTGAAGGTATTAATGTTGGTTGTATTAGAAAACATTTTCCTAAAGTAGAAACACATTACAAGGTTAATTTCTCCTCTGTGGAAATGACTAAATCGTTCCTTCTCACTGGGCACTCAAGGGATGGTCTATCTATCACCAGGAAAAACCTGAGACACATCAAAAACTCTACACAGGGAAGGGCAGACAGGCCTCAGCACTGTGTTCTGGGATAGAGTTTGCAGATCACTTCCCATGATGCTTTGCTCCAAAAGCCCAAATGACCTGGGGATTCTGAGCCATTTCATTTGGACACCTTGGTCTGCAGGGTGCTGGGCAGGTAGAGGTATTTCCAGATGGCATAGTAGTGGGTACCAGCACCAAATGCCACAAAGAGATGCCAGATGGCATGGGCAAAGGGAATCCTGCCGTCGCTCTTGAAGAACACCATGCCTAAGCAGTAGAAGACCCCTCCGGTCATCAGCTCCCAGATGCCTTCAGTGTTGGGCTGTCAGTAAGGACAAGGGTGAGGCACAAGTCAGAGGAGCAGCCAGCTAGTCTACCACCACCCAAACTAAAAGACACAGAGGTGGCAAGCCAGCCCAGAGTCTCCTTGGGGAATTTCAACACTGTGATGCCTTCAAGTCTCCCCATATTATTTCTCAAACGTACCATGCTTCTAACAAAGTGTGTTTATCAGTGTGTTGCCCCATCCTCAAGAGCCCTAGTTGGATGTTAACACCATGATAATAGCAACACTGGGTGCCCCACCACACGCCCTGGGCCAGGCCCCTCTTCTGTGCCTGACCTGAGTTGCCCAGTGGCAAACCCTTTACAACAGCCTTATGGAAAAAAAGAACCACAAGAGGGCAAAGAGAAATGCATGCTGCAGAATAGCCTGTGAAATGACTTCATTTTTATGAAATAAAAATAAAACTGTCAATGTATGTCTACGTGTCCCCATATACTTGCATTTAAGTTGTACTTATTTATTTACATTTACTGGGGATTGAATCCAGGAATTTTGTACTGAGCTACAACCCAGCACTTTTTTACTTTTTATTTTGAGACAGGGTCTCACTAAATCCCTAAATGCCCCAGATAGGGCTTAGACTCGAGATCCTCCTGCCTCTGCCTCCCAGAGTGCGGAAATTACAAGCATGCACCACTGGGTTATAGCTCAGTGGCAGAGCAATCTCCTAGCATGTATGAGGCCCTGGATTCAATCCTCAGCACCCTTAAACTAAAAAAAAAACCTAACTAAATAAAAGTTTTAAATGGAAAAAATATTCACAAAAATAAGCTACTAATGGTTGTAGCTGAGGCATCGTATTGGGAAGGAAGTGAGAGGGTGACATTTTTATACAGGATTTCTTTGAGAGAATATACAATTAAATATACATTTACTCTATGTATATATTGTGTGTAACATATAATATGTAATTTGATGAAGGTCTTACAATTTGATAGATATAACATGTATATTTACATAAAAATGAGCTTGGAGGGGGAAAGGCAATCTGGAAAAATAAATACAAATCCAAAGGGTTAGCAATGAACAACAAGAAGGAGGGGCCAGACGAGAGTGCAGACAAGGAAAGGAAACAGTAGGGGCTGGGGATGTGCTCAGTGGTGCTGTGCCTCCTGCTTGGTAAGCGCAAGGTCCTGAGTTCAATTCCTGTATGAGGGGAAAAAAGAGTAGGAAAAAGCAGGGCCCTTGCACCTTGCATGGAACAGATAGGCCGAGGGCTAGGGCTGCGGCTCCACGGCACAGTGAGGTCCTGGTTTCAATTCCCAGCAGAGCAAAGAACAAACAGGCCACGTGATGAGGCCCATGCTTATACGCACGACAGGAGGATTTTTTAATGGTCGATCAATGAAACAACTGGCTGATCATGTGGAGAGGGATGACCATACACAAACAAAACTGCAATGGGAGTAAACAATTTTAAACCACAAAGCAAACTACAAAAGAAGCAGGAGAGGCCAGGTGTGGTGGCACATGCCTGAAATCTCAGTGCTCTGGGAGGCTGAGGCAGGAGGATCATAGGTTCAAGTACATCCTGGGCAACTTACTGACTTGCAAGAGCCTATCTCAAAGTATAAAAATACAAAAAGAGGCTAAGGATGTAGCTCAATGTGAAGGCCCTGGGTTCTATCCCCAGTACCAAAAAAAAACAAAAAAAGAAGAAACTATAGGTAGGTGACAGTCTATACAAACTTGGGAACTTAGGAAAGGGGAGATCATCCCATCAGGACATTGAAAGAACTACATTATTGACTATATTTTTCAGTAACAACTGTCAGTCTAGGGTTGTTAGCTCGGCGGTAGAACACTTGCCTGCTATGCAGAAGTCCCCCCAGAACACACACACACACACACACACACACACACCCTGAAGACAGTGGCCTGAGGTTTCTGTGCCCACTCGACAGAGGGAGCAACTGAGGCCACTGGACCCCAACACCCAATCAGGGGAGATGGGGCCATGCTCCACCCAGCTGCCCCAAGACTGGGCTCTCCTTTCCCTCTCAGAGCTTGCTCTCTTCCTGCATGAACTGGGGATGTTGCCTTCACATCCAAGGGCACCTGGAGCAGTTTAGGGTGTCGAAGGATAGAAAGGGGGGAGTCAGAAAACAGCTTGGCCTCCAAAGCCATTAAATTCTTCTTCTTTCCAGGGCTGGGGATGGAACCCAGGGCCCCGTGCACGTGAGGCAAATGCTGGGGCCACACCCCTGGCCCATCTGCTTTCTGCCTTCTACTCTGGTCCTGGGCTGCAATCCAGGTCTAGGATACAGGGCATCGTTCGTCAAGGTGTAAGCCTTAGGGTCAGAAATCCTGTATTTTGCTTTCGTTTTTGCTGAGCTGGGTACGGAACCCAGGGCTTCATACGGGCTTGCAAAGCTCTCTACCTCTGAGAGGACCCCAGCCCTACGTCCTCGTGACAGATCTGAGTTTGTGAGTTATCTTCGCACTCTGGCCTGGATGCACTCTGATCGCTGCTTGCCGATGTTCTTACACAGCTAAGAACCCAAAAACGCAGAGGTTGGAGGATTCACTCAAGGTTAGGAAGGGGTGAAGGAAAGGCTGGACTTCGATGTTCTCCTGTCCCTAGAGCCAAATCTCTCTGACCCACTGAGCCTGTTTCCCCAGCTGCCAAAAGAAACACCCAACTTGATAGTCTTGAGGGTCAGATGAGGCTTGGACACTCGTGTGCCCTCCAGGCAGACAGGAGGCCCACACGGAGGTGGGGACAGACTCACCATGGAGAGGATGACCAGGGCGGGGAAAAAGCCCATCACCACATAGCACAGGAGCTCCACCAGTTTGTACCTGGCAGGAAGACAAGGCCCTCAGGGAGGAAACAGCACACAGCTCCCAATGCCGAGAACAAGGGGCTACCCCGATGGGAACACTGAGAAGAAGGGGTTCCCTCTGGGCAGCACCCGTGTGCCCAGACTCTAGCCAAGTGTTTCCTATACTAATGGTGCTGGCAGTTATGTGACCTTGAGCAAGGCTCTTTCCCTCTCTGCCTCCGTTTCCACACCTGTGGACACTGGAACTAGAACAAGGATTACACAGATTGGGCATAGGAAGTGTGACTGAAAAACAAGGTTAGATTTTTTTAAAAAATCATTACAGTAAAAGACATACTGCTATTAATCCCCTCAATCCTCCCTCTCACTTTTTGTACTTCAGTCTGGCCCGGGACTCACAGTGATCCTCCTGCCTCAGCCTCCTGAGTGCTGGGATTGCAGGCGTGTGCCACCATGCCCAGCCCCGTCTCACTTTAAACACACTCATCCCATTGGTCTTGGCACGTTCTGAAGCAGCTGTGGACGTCCTCTTTCATGAGAGTCTTTAGTTGTACTGTCATGGCTGTCTCAATGTCCTGAATTGACTCAAAACATTTCCTTTACCTGGTCATTTTGACTTTGGGGAAGGGCCCAAAGTCACTCAGTGCCAGACGTGATGAATAAGGTGGACAGGGACACACAATCGTGTTTATGAGCATGACTTCCTGTTGGATGGCACTGGACAGCAGCATGCGCAGCCTTTTTTTTATCACATCCTGTAAAGACACTCAGGAGAGGGGACTTCCAGAACTGCTCCAGAAAGTGGCACAAAGGATGGGGTAAGTGCATTCAAAGTGAGGGGGAATATTTTGAGGAAAATTAACGGCGATGTGTCTTTTACTGTAATAATTTTTAAAATTTAAATATTCACCACGTTTCTATCACACCTGTAGCAGGCATGTGGATGCTACAAAGGCTCAGCCTGCAGCAGACATCACTAGTTGATCCCCGCAGGGGCTAAGCAGCCACTCTCAATTGAGTGGAGCTGGCTAACCACCATGCCTCCATTCACTTCAGCAGCAGAATCCAGGCAGAGCTGCACACTCCCATTTCTAGGATCACCCTGGGGTCTCACCTGCCCTGCCGGAGGATGCCCTGCTGGGGCATCAAGAAGTACCGCACCCACTTGAGACCCTCGCCCCAGCTTACCGCTCATGGAAGAAGAAGACATAGACGGTGCCGACAGAGGCCATGATCCAAACCAGCCAGCGCATGTGGGAGGCCCAGGGGCCGAGCTCCCGAAGGTTCAGCCTGGAAGAGAGAAAACCCAGGGCCCAGCCTGAGAGGCCCAGCGGGACCCAGCCCTTCACAGCTACCTGTCACCAGCACTGACCCCAGAGACATTCTCTCCCCTGGGGCTGCAGGGGGGCACAGGGGCTCTGTGGGGAGACTGAGGGCACAAAAGTTCCCTGGCAAACTGAATAGCCAGCAGCTACAGGCTGAGGATCCCCCCTCCAAATGCTTGGGCCAGATGGGTTTAGGTTGTGGCCTTTTTCAGATTTGGAGATACTAGGATGTACATACTGAGGTCTTGATGAGGGCACCTGGAGAAATTTACTCGTGCCCCATATACATCTACACACAGCCCGAAGGAGCTTTTCTGCAGTATTTTTAGAACACCTGTGTTTGGAGTATGACCCCCCCACTCGTGAGGTCAGGTGTGGGATTTTCTATTTGGGATGTCCCGTCAGCGTTCCAAAAGTTTCGAATTTCAGAGCATTTTGGATTTTACATTTGCAGATTATGGATGCTCAACCCGTATTAGAAGAAAATCAGCAAAACTGATCAGGTCTAAATGTGGAGGGGAAGTGGAATTCAAAAGAGTGAGGATAGTAATGAGTAAAGCCTGTTTGGAGGGCAACTGGTAGACTGGCAAACTGAAATGAAACGCGTGTTCCCAGAGCTCCAGGGACAGCAGCGAGCCAGAGAGACACAAGAAATCAGAGTTGGAAGAGACTCAAATCTCTTGGCTACCAAGAGGGGAGGGCAAAATAAACATGGTATTCGTTTTAAAAGCAACAAAAACCAAACCAAAACAAAGACACACACACACACACACACACACACACACACACACCATCCTTAGCAGAAGTAAGTTCTAGAAATATGGGCCCTTTTTTTGGTACCAGAGATCGAACTCGGGACCTTGTGCTTGTATGAGCCTTTTAAAGAAATC